TACATACATACATACATACATACATTCATACATACATACATACATACATACATACATACATACATATATCATCGTCATCATTAAAACCTTCGTTAATATCTTACACACACACACACACACACACACACACATACACATACATACACATATAGATACATATACACACATTCGCAAAAACACACACGTGCACAAACTTCATACTCACACACGCATATAAGCGCGAACATGCGCATAAACTCTCACAAGTGCATACACAAGTACATGCATATATACTGCAGCAAATTCACGAGTACAAATGCAGGCATGTGTGCATCGTAGCGCCGTTATCGTGCAGTAAATCGAAGGTTCAGCTGTGCTGGTGGGGCAACCAATCCCTCTATGATTCGTTTCAGTGGCATCTCTAAGGGAGTCAGTCTCGCCATCAGCTTGCTTGTAAACGGCTATCGCAAGAAGGCGTCATCGACTACCTTGCTTTTGACATTTGCTATCACTCGAGCTACTTTCCGAGTGTCTCCTTTCTCGCTAAAAATTAGATACTGAAAAAGCTTATATTTTTGACTTTGACACGCACACACGTACAGATGCACACATACACAGACATTTCTGTGCATACGTAATTATAGGCGATAAGTTAATGCAAACACTCGTACATAAATACGCATACACTCACATATATATATATATTTATTTGTTTATTTATTTATATGCATTTGTATATGCATACACTCAGAATACACTTGCAGGCATTAGTACACATTTATAAAATTGTACGAAAGTGAGGGGAGCTGTTGCTACCTGAGGTCGACCTTGACTTAGTGGATTGCGCTCGATATCGCATCGGTGGAATACAAACAAATATGGAACAATTTCCGTTTCGCGCCGAAATGTTGCCTTTATTGTGAATGAGCCTGTGTCGTCAGTTTCCGTTTTCGTAAGGAACGAATCCCAAGGCACTGAATAGAGCGACGTAGTACAGACACGAATAGAGTGGTCAAAAGTCGGAGAACGTATGAAGACCTTACCTTTTGCCTTCAAAAACCAAGCGCGGATGAGTTTCCACAAAGGCTTGTTGTCCTCCCAGAGCTCAACGGTGGCCTTGCGAACTGGATTTCCAGCACAGATAAATCGCCCTCGAGACTCGAACGATTGATTGCGGGACACGAAGCCGTAGGTGCTGCTGACAAATATCAGCAAAAACATTATTTTAGTGCGCATTGCTGTAGTTTTCAACTGCAATCAACTTTAGTACATAACACAATTACTTCAGCGCACTGGTCATTTTGGAAAATATTACGGCAGTCGGAAATAAAGATCATTGGAGACGCGCACTAGGCGGACCTGTGCTATCTTGCGTTTTTGCACTATTTCGTGCTGTAATAAGATCGCTCAGAAACCCAGTAGCTAGAATTTGTGACATATCGGTCCTCGAATTCGCGGGAGTTAATCGTGCAATTATGTGGTACTTGAACAAGGAATATCCCGTTAAAATTTCGACGTTCCAGCTTTTCTGGTTCTCTTTTTAACAGTTTTCCCACCAAAACTCTCACGAAGTTCACGTGACTTCGGGCACACCTGGAGGTTGAGTTTGAAATTAAGTTGTATGTGGGCTGGAGAGCTTAAAGCTCCAGCCTCCCAACTTCCCTGACTCTCGAGTTAGTCATTTTCCCGGTAAGAAATTTCACGGGACCATACATGAGAAATGCACTCACTGAGGGGCTGCATTTGAAAACTCTAAATTGTACACAATCTAGGAACATCCCCTTAAAATTTCAGCCTCCCAGCTTTCCTGGTCCCTGAGTTAGCAATTTTCCGGCCAGGAACCCTCACGAGGCCGCACGCGGGAACCACGCACACCGGGGAGCTGAGTTTGAAATCTTTGAGTTCAATGTGGACGGAGAACATGATCTCTAAATTTCAGCTTTCTAGCTTTTCTGGTTCCCGAGTTAACGATTTTCCTGCCAAAGCTTTTACTCTCCAGTATGCGGGGCCCAGACGTGCATGGGGTTACCCTGGTTCTGGTGTGGCACTTGGCTGAGGAACGCCGAGGAACCCACTGACAATATTTTGGCGCCGCAGCTTGTTTGATTACCGAGTTGAAATAGCCGGACAGACGGACACACACAAACACACACAGACACCGCCATCGTCACAACATACGTTTTTGCTTATATGCAAATGCAAAAATGCATATTGACAAAAATCCGCTATGTGTGCGTGTATATGTATGTATGTGTGTGTTTGCATGTGTGTATGTGTGTGTCCAGGTATTTCAATTCGGCAGCAAAGCAAACCCGGTGCTAAAATTTTGCCAGTGGATTCCCCACCTAATTGTCGCTTAGAACCGCTGTACCAGTCCTCACGCACGTATAGGCCCCACGTAAAAGCGCGTTAAAGTTTTAACGGGAAAATCACCAACACGGTAACCAGGAAAGCTGAGAGACAGAAATTTTAAAGGGTTGTTCCCAATCCACTTACAACTTAAAGTTCAAATGCAACCCCGAAGTGTGTCTAGTTCTCATATGCGGCCCCATGAAAATTTTTGGCAAGACAATTGCTAATTCGATGACCATTATGTCATAAATTCTAGCTACTGGAACTCCGAGCAATCTTATTATAGCACGAAATGCTGCAAAAATGCATGATCGCACAACCCCACTCGATGAGCATCGCCAGTGGCTCAACCTACCTTTGAAAATATTTCCACAACTCTGCTTTGAAAAAATTTCTGGCTAGAGTACTGCTCAAAATGAACTACGCATGAAACGGCGTGGTGGCAGGCTTCTGTTCTACAGTTTTCTGATCTTTAAAAAACGCCTTCTTTTTTTCTTACCCTGCGGAATCCGACAATATGCTTGCCGGCCAAAATAAGCATAACATACACGTACCGCTACCTAATTTTATATTTTGTCTCGTTAATAGCAATGAGTGACTAACGACCAACAGACGGCTTCTGAAGCTTCAAGCCAATTCGCCTCATAAAATGGGCTCAGCCACCTTTCCCACTCAAGTATTAGAAAGAATTTTGGATTGCTGTTGAAAACAATTAAGATGACTATATCAGGGGATTGGAAAAAAAAGGGATTGGAAAAAGGGGTAGCCAGAGACGTACCATGTGTCTGCATGTGTAATTTGTTTGCAGTGTAGGCACCCAGAGAAAAGAACAGTCGAATTTTCATATTTAGTTATATCCAAAAACGCCATTTAGCCATCTCATGTGTGCAAGCTTGTATGTGAACTAAGTGACGTCCGTGTTTCATCCCTGAATTGTAAACATAGACGGCTGAATCAGTGTGAAATGGAGTGGGAATTATAAGTACAGCGACCCATTTCGCCACGTTGGAGAGAACATGTAAAATATCGTAAGAATGAGAAAAGGATGAAACAAAATGTGAGGTCTATAAAAATTATAATATTGGAGAGTAAGATAAACTAAAAAGTATATTTAGGGATTTTTGAGAGGACGCATTAGCAAGGACCGACACAAAAGACTGAAAATGCCTCTGCCAATGATTAATTTTTTATTTTTGTACTTCGAAATATC